ATAGCCTCCAATTAGGAGAAAAATCAAACAATTGAAGTTGACACAGAATTGACACAGATGTGATGCTTAGTAAACAAGGACGATATAGTGGCTATTATTACAAACCTTTAAAAGGAACCTTTGGGGGTGGGGTTGATAGGTATATTCATTTTGTTCATTGTGCTGATGGTTTCAGGAAAGTGTACATTTGTCAAAACATACGAGTTTATACATGTTAAATATGTGCAGTTTATTGTATGTTGGTCATACTTCAATTAAAAAAATGAATGAATGAATGAATGAATGAATGAAGATTCCCTTCTATTGAAGCTCTCATCCTTTAGTACTCATATTGTTCCATTATGATATGTTACCTTCTATATTATAGACACCACCAGCATATAAATAATAACATCACCTATGATGTATACCAGTTTATACAAAGTTTATGTTCAATTCATATTTGACAGATGAATAAACTAACAAAATAACTCAGAAGTGACAAGAGATTTTCACATGTTGGGGTATATGGGGTAACAATTTGGGTTCAAAACTTATTTGGCTTAAACTAAAAAGCCTGAATTATGGCCTATCAAACATACATTGTACATCTGCTTAACCATTAGAGGAAGAATGCACTCTCTTATGATTAGAATGCATACTTCCCCTCCTATGCCCTATTGGTAACGCCCTATTGGTAATGCCTGGATCAGTCCCTTTCCTTACATCATGGTCATGTTGACCTGCTAATTTGCAACTGAACACGTCCTTGAAATTTTGATGAAAATGTATCCTGGGTTTGTTTAATGTATGTTCTTTATTCTAAAAAGATATAAGACTGTACTGAAAGCCATGCTTCTCCAGAACACCTTCTAAGGCCTTCCTGGGTTATAATCCTCACTTTGGCTTGTAATAAACTCAGCCTAATTTTGATTTATAGGTTGGTTATTGATTATTTGTATCGACAGAAGCATCAGAATACAGTGTAATTGTCAAGTGTTGTACATTTTTTCTCCCTTTTTACTGAACTTCTGGCATACAGTTGCCTAGTTGATTATTGTATCATCGACAGAGTCATTTTGAAACATGATTATGAAATTTTGGAGCTTTCTGCATGCTTTTCCTCTTCTTGCAACATTCTTTGCTTCCTCATCTTTTGCTTAGTTCATGTCTACTTATCTTTTAGTGTTCAATTCAAAAACAGCTACGAAGAGTTAACTCTTTTCATATCCACAGGCCCTCTAGGACTAGTTCAACTGACCCCATTTTATTAACAGAGTAATTAAGAGTGGTTTTTCAGGAGCCGAGATCTCTTGTCCAGTTCAGGCCCATTAAGACCACCTACCCATCAACTGGGCTGGCGCAGATGCTCTATAAGTGACATTTTTGATGTCAAGGAGCTAAGGACTCCACCCTCAGATCACGGTCACATTGCCATTCCGTGAACATGCGTCTTATGAGGAGAGATGAAGCTTAACTACACTTGCACAGATCATCAATTACCTCACTTCTCCCTACCTCCAATCGTCTATCTCCACACGTCAGACCGCCCTGCTCTTCATCCCGTAAATTTTGCCCCAAGCCCTGGATCAGGGAAACAGATCTTGGAGCTGATGCCTCCTGTCTTGCAGATTGATCTAGCAATAAAGCTGATTTATTTCCCCAAAAGCTGATACTGTAACAATTGGCCTTTTTTATGCATATTGGGTGGAGGACTCCATCTTTGTATGATAACATTTTGATCCCCAAGACTATTTTTTGTCCTCCATTAACATGTTCTTGGTCACCTGGAATTCTTTGTCGTACTGAATCATAACTGAAATTAAATGTCTGTCTAAGTACCCAGTTAGGGTTTGTGTCCCTCACTAAATGTAAGTTACATATACAAAAAGACTGTGACAGTCAATATGTACCTAATAAGTAGTTATTAGATGTGACAAGATGTTAGACTGAACTATATAATAGATATGACACTTGGAAGACACTTGCCACATGAAGATGCAGAAGTCCAAGAGAAATGTTGAGAAGCTCCTCATTCATAGGGAAGATGATGAAAAGAGTGGACATTGGGAGAGGATATGAGGATTGCGTAGGAAAGAGCTGTACTGTGGATTTCATCTCCCAAGGGAGAGGTGATACTTCTTTCTAACTTCAGGCCTGGTGAAAGGGACTTCTAAGAATTACTCAGAGACCTTGATACATGATCTTTACAGTGGTGGGACTAGTTGTCTGGAGTCACCTCAAAAGAAGTCCTTTCCAGGAAGGCTTCCTGCTGGACGGAGGGGACTCTAGAGTGAGAGGCTATGGGGTGTACTAGCAGGGGCGGAAGCTAACGGGTGGTGAGGTGCAGCCAGGCGAAGAAGAGGCAGTGCCTCCATCAAAAAGTTGAAATTTGAAAGACACAGCAAAGGAGGCTCTGAAAAACTTAGGAAAACATGTATCAGAGGAGGAATTTTAGGTATTTACAATGTCAAAGCATATAGAGCCATTTTATTGCAATTCCAGTCAAATAAGAAATTTCCTAACCCCTTATTTCCACACACTGTTCCCATTTCAACTTTTATGGTGTAGGAAACAACTCATGAATCAAGGGGAGCAGGGGGTCTAAAAGAGGAGAGAAACTGACAAATCCCCTTCCCAGGTTTCATTTGGCTCCTCTCCAACCTGTCCTAGCTGGGAGAAAGGAAAGTCTTACCTTGAGATGGAGACTGAAGTGTTGTTGAATATATTGGACTGGTATCTTAAGTTCTAAGGGGGAGACAAAAATAGGCTCTTTTGTTTATATTACCCACTGAGTCTTGTTTTTACTTTCACAAGTGAATGAATAAATTAATCAATGAATAAGTGCTCCTTGGCTCTCCTGGTTCCCTCCTTAGACAAAACTACTTAACTCTAATCTGATCATTTCAATTCAACTGTAGGGCTTATTTGTTCCCTCAACAAATGTTTCAAATGATATTGCTTTTGTGAGAGTTGAAGCATTTTAAGGGAACTCACATGAAAATACCTCATATCAATCAATTTGGGCATTTAATATTAGACCATATATCTGTTATAAATTAAGACAAGATTTACCAAATGAACAACAGTTTGTATCCTGAATTTTCAATTATAATTAGCAGTATTTTCAGTATATGAATGATTCCAATAGAGAAAAATCTTATATTTTTATTGATGAGGCAGTTATTATGGCACGTGACAGAAAATTAATAGAAAGTATTACAAGTTATGACAATGAAACCAATCATTTTACTGTACTTTAGGGAAAAAAAGCAATTCATTGTTTTTTTTTTTAATCCTGTTAGAATTCTTTGAAGAATAAACCTCCCCATCTGTTTCATTCTCATAGACTAGTAAATGTATATATTCTAAATTTGTATGATAAATGATTATAGTCTCTAGAATCATCTAAAGCTTAGGGAATATGTGTTACAAGAGAAAATTTGGGGCTATAGCTTAATCTCTCTGGGGCTCAACTATGAAATGAAGACACTGAATTAGAACTAAACTTGTGTTATACTGAGTTAGAAGGATGGGCATGGAGCTGAAGTTCCTGGTTTACATCTTGTCACTACCACTTTCTGGATTTTCCTTCTGGGGTTAGTTACTTAATCTCTTTGTACCTTACTTTCCTCAACTGTACATTACCTTCAACAGGACATCTCACAACCTTTAATATACTATTTATTCATAGACTCCCCAAGATAGGGAAATAGCAGTTTGCATGTTCCAAATTTATTTAATTAAGAACTCCTTTTCCCCCTAAAGAATGATATGTATTATAATGCAATTTGGAAGTGCTGGATTTGATCATTTGTAAGGACAGGCATTTGTAAATACATCTCAAGGATCGATTTCAAGGTGATCTAAAAAATTCTTTATAGTTATAAGGGAAAACTTATATGTATACTACTTTTTAAAGGAGGAAGCTCTCAAAGGTCCTTAACACCCCAACTTACACCACTCCTGATAAAGCACTTCCATCTGAAAGCTTTTTGAAATTTCTAAGTATATGAAGTTAAAGGAACAGAGGCCCTGGAGTGAATGATGTGTTTGGGGCACTGAAAATAATTTCACATATCACTTATAACATGTTTGGGGACTAAGCAATGACTTAGAAGCAGGAACGAAACATCAAAGAGAATGAAGAGAGAAACCCCGTAGGTGAAGAGTTGTTGTATGTAGCACAGAAGGTAGTTTAGATTTTATCATTGAGACAATGAGAAGGATATGAAGACGTCAGAGCAGGGAATTAACCTAGTTTTATCTACATATGAGAAAGATCAATTTGGTACTGGGGTGGCAGATGGGCTGGAGCAGGAGTATTGTTAATAAAGCAGAGGGTAAAACGTTCTAGTTGCTCTGTCACCAATTTTGGTGAGTTGTGACTTGTACCCACTGCCAGAGCCGAGGAAAGACCAGGAAACCTAGGAACGGTGTCTGTGAGGTGAAGCAGAGGCAGAACCCAGAACCCACGCCAGGAGGCGCAGGGCCCTTGAACACAATAATCCTTTCGGCCACGTAAACACCAGCTCTGCACCAACAAGCACAGCTTCACAAGAGTCTCAATACCACCAATACTGTCAGAAAGAGATGTCCTGCCTTGTCCTAGCTCTGGGAGTCCCTCGGCGCCCCCTGTACCTAAATCACGCTCCCGGAGATCTCTGGCACATTCCGCCCTGAGGTTCCAGCGGTTCATATGCTGACCACGCCAGGCTCCCTCGTCTCAGAACCTGCCCCCAGAGTGAGTTTCCAGCTGGCCTACTAGACCTACTAAGGTCGGTGCTTACTTTTTCCGGAACAAGACATCCTGCGGAGTTCCAGCCCCAGGCCTGCAGGAAATGGCAACCTCAGCCAGAGCCTCTGCAATAGCGGGACCCCCTCCCTTCACAGGCCTCCCAGAATGCAATGGGCACCAGGTCAAAAGAAGTGGTGGGAAACAAGGTGATTTCTGCCTTTCCTGAAGTGCGCAGGCGCAGGTGACGCCGCTCCTTTGTCGGAGGCCACGCCCACTGTTCCTTGACGGGAGCAGGCAGAAAGGAGGCAGGGCGCGTTACAACGGGCTCTTGCAACAACTTGCAGTGCTTTTTCGGCCCCAAAGGTGATGTCTCTGTGGCTGGGAGCCCGGGGGCCAGGTCCCAAGGCCTCCACCTCCCCTCAGTGACCGGTCATGGCGGGCTTGGGGGTAGTGGGGGCAGAAGTATTGAAGGCCTCGGTGAGGCAGGCCCGAGGGGTGGACCCGCGCTCTGCGCAGGTGAGACCTAGGGCGATGATGGATTCTGGACCACGGAGACCCGGCGGCGGGGGACAAGGGCGCTGGGTGAGGACGCACAGACATTTGTTCCTGCACTGCACTTACAGTGGGAGAGTAAAGTGAGGGAGGGGCATATCGTGAGGGGTGCGTTATTGGAAGTGATCATAGCAGCGTGAGGGGCTGTTACACGATGATCACTGCAGCCATTGCGGCCCCCTGCCGCTCCGCTCTTGAGGTTCCTGAGCGGTGATTCTTACGGAGTTGGCCTCATTGTACTGTGGGGGCTCAGGGAGTGTGAAGGCCCTTCGCCATCGGGGGAGGCAGATGGACCCTCCTTTGGGGATGGGTATGGGGCCCAGGAGACACCCCTCTATCACATGAGATGGGCTGAGAACAGTTCACTCTGTTAAGATCAAGTGGATGTAGCCTGTAGAAGGTTTGTGTAAAGCCCAGTGTGTGTGTTTGTGTGCATGTCTAGAGGCTAGTTATTCAATAAGTATAATCTCCTCCTGTGTACCAGACCTTCTGGTAGGTGCTGCTGTGAACCAAGGGAACAAACATCCCTGTCCGCTTGAAGCAGACCTAGGAGACAGGAAACAAGAGATGCAAGTCAGATAGTTCCAAGGAGGAGAGAAAGTGGCAGAGGAGTGTGAGGGCCTGGGCTATGGGTATCTGGGCCATTATCTCTGAGAGTTTGTGACTTCGGGTGTCTATGTGTGGGTGTATGCACATATATGCCCAGTGAGAAAGCCTGTGTGATTTTGTATGTCTGTTTGGGGAGCTATGTGTGTATGTCCTTAAAATCTGGAATGCTTTTATTTCATTTGGTGCCTAACTGCCCTGGTAGCACCATGTTGAATTGAACTGAGGTGGGTGGATAAATCATCTTCTTTCTGCGTGTATTAATTGTGTGTTTTATTTTCTGTCTTTGAAGATGTTTTGACATCTTTGCGGGGCTTCTCACACATAGGGAGACACCACCCCTGCCAGGGGTACGTAATTCCACATTGGCAGAGGACAGCTTGTCTGGAGCATGCCTTTCGTGTGCATACTTCCTGCTCCAGTGCCGTGTCCCTACAAACCTCCTTATCTACCTCTCACACACCAAGACAGTATTTCCCCTGCCCTAAACCAACCTAGGGCCAAGTACTAGACGGCTAAGGACCATTCCTATCCCCCAGAGCCAGCTGGAATTGTTCAAAATAGCCAATCCCAAGCTGTTTACTCTGCCCTGACTTAGGTTTCCTATGGAACCCCAAATAAAGACCATGGCCTAGGTTTTGGTCTCACTCCTGATTCTGCCTCCTGAGCAACCCTGATGCATGCCCTGACCCTGCCTGGCATGGCATGCCCTCTTATCTTGGAAAATGTAAGTAATAAAAACCTTTCAATGGCAAAAAAAAAAAAAAAAAGAAAAAGAAAAAGAAAACAGAAGGTACAAAGACTTTTACTCTAGTTTGGTCTTTTATCTGGACCATTGTAATCACCTCATCACTAGTCTTCCAGCTTCTTCTTTTGTTCCCCAGAAGGATCCAGTTAAAACAAAAGACAGATCAGATCACTGTTCTATTCACATTGCTCCAGTGTATTCTCATCTTGTTCAGGTTAAAATGCAAAACCCTAACTGTGGACAACAAGGCTGTGTTTGAACTGGTACTGACTAGTGACTTGGTGCTTCCTTGACCTCGTTTCTGTGCCTCTCCCCCTGGCTCACACTGCTCTGACCTTATTCATTATTTGATTCTGTGCAAATGCCAAATGCACTTCTTTCTTAGGGCCTTTGTAGTCTTTTTCCTTGGATAGCCATTTCATCTCTCAGATCTTTCTGGTTTTTGCTTAAATAGAATCTTATTTGAGAATATTTCATTGACTACCTTACTTACAAAAGCATCCCTCTTAATACTTGATCACTCTATATCCATTACCCTGCCTTGTTTTTATGATGGTATTAGCATGTAGCCTAATATATGTTTGTTTTTCATTGTCAGACTCCGCCCCCTGCACTGGAATATAATCTACACAAGAACAGAGATTTAGTCTGTTTTTATTCATCCAACTAATAAATACTGAGTGCCTTCTATGAAGCGGGCACTGTTGTGGGAATTGGCAAGATAATACTGAAAAGAAACAAACAGAAATCAAGATTTCTGCCTTCGGGGAATTTACATTCAAATTTTCTACTTTTGTTCTAGTTTTGTTTGCTGTTTTATCCCCAACACCTGGAAGAGTGCCTGGACCATGGTAGAGGCTTAATAAGTGTTTGTTGAATGAATGCACAATTGAGAGTTGACGCTCTAGAAAGGAGAACATAGGAAAGGAACTTTGCATATATAGAATCAATAGGATATGGTGACTATATGTTTGTGAAAGATGAAGAAGACGGAATAATTTAGGATGGCTTCCAGTTTTCTAGTTCATAATGTTATTTGTTCAATATCATGGTAGGAATGAAATTGTGTTACTGGCTCCTAAGTATATCCTAAAGTGATGTTCTTGGACTGACAAGACATTTCCCTTCGCTATCTAGATTTGATATCTACCCAATTGTTGTGATGAATATGGGAGTGGGGAATAAGAGTATCGAATCCATATATTATGCTTAAAGCTGAGAAATCAGCAAATGCTACTGACAATTAAAAAATATTGCCAATCTAGTGATTCATGCATAAACATTATTGAAATGACATCTTCAGCTTGGTATTGTGTTCTCTGCTTGTATTTAGATTTAAATTTCACGATTCAATGAGGCACAGAAATTTCATTTTAAATCTGGAGGAGTCTTACTTATTAAGGAAGAAGCAGGGATCTCACATCTTAGATCACCTTCCACTCCTCGTCAAAACTGCCATCACTCTTCTCACCTTTGCAAGAAAGCATTGTAAGAAATTACTCAGTGTCATCTCTGTGTGAAAAGAGGTATTTCTGGTTCATTGACTAAAGACGTTGGTTCTAAACCTAACACATAATTGAATTTAGTCTGAGTTTTATTCTCTGTACGTGACATATTACTACCTACTTTGTTGTGTGATCCAAAGGATAAAATAGGAAAATACATATGTATAAAGTGCTTATCATAGTGCCTGACATATAGTAAATTCTCAATAAATATCTCAGTTCTTACTGTTTCTGGAAAGTCTTCCCTAACTAGCCCAAGACAGCATGTTTATTCCTTCTCTGTATAGTCGTAGAACTTTAGCTATATCACTTAGTATAAACTGCCTAGCATTGCTTTTATTTGACTTTGCCTTATTGGAGAAAGGTCCAAAATATGGGATCACAGGAGAATGATTTCTAGTACAAGCTAGCTCTGAGGCAGTCCTGCAGGTGGGAAAGGAAATGGTGAAAGTGACACTGGAAGCAAACATTGGCTAATTGATAACTTTGTTGATGACCAATCTTGGACTTCGTTGGTTATGGCCATTGGCAAACTCCAAAGACTCTCAGTGTGATTGTTCAACCCTCTCAGCATAGTACACTTTGGACCAATTGGACACAACAAAAGGCCCAATTTGGGATGTTCACTCTCTTACCCATGGCATAATAACCCACTGGTAAAAACGTATTCCAGGAGTGATCTGGCACACAGACTTCCTGAGTCCTGGTTTAAAAAAATTACTAGTTAATTAACCTTCCTTTTACAGGCTACCCAGAGGAGGAACACAGGTGTTAGTTACATTGAGTACTAGATGGCAGTTCAGTGGCACTTTCCATGGACACAAAATGATTTCATTCTAACTTGCTTCTGACTTTCCATGCTGCCTTTGCATTGCTATCACATGAAAACTCCATCTCTTCAAATTGAACAGTTTTGGAACCACATTATTAGGGGCTCTGAAGCAGTGAGTAATAACTATTATTCGTTAACTGAAAAGGAAATGTAACAAAAATATATTTTATTTCTGTAATAAATCTAGCTTCACTGAAATTTCCCTTAAAATACGTGGACTAAAACTAACTAAACAATTACATCACACACACGTCCACACACACACACAACCATAAAGTCCAAGATATCAGAGATGTTAATGGACAGTTAGTCTAGATAAATTTTTTCTTGTCTTTTGGGCTAGATTAATCTGATGAAAATTGCCAAAAGAACTTAAATGGACACTTTAATACTGTCTAGCTGTCTTAACAGATGGAAGTGCAATTAGTTAACGTTAAAAAAAGATCCAAAATAAAGTAAAAAGGAACCTGAATTTCAACTAAATTGGCAGCAGAAATAGGATTTTGTAAAAATCAATTTAGCTCTAATTAGGGAGGGTGAATCCCTTGATTTTAAATAGATTGCTCACTGTTTATTCTTAAATTCTCTTCTATTCCCATCTCCAACCCCCGTCCTACCCATAAATGAAACAAACTCTGAAGGATCTGGAAAAATAGTGTTTTAATAAAGATACTCTAAATGATAAAAGAAGGTAAATATATCCTGAAAGTGAAAACCATAGAGCGGAGGGGGAAATCTGATTTTACAGAACTGCATGGTAATATAAAACCAGATTTGTATACTTATACATATAAGTTGTGTGCATTATTCCTCTGCCAGGAAACTGCATTAGACACATCTGTATAAAATATATTTCCAATTTAACCAGTCTGCAATGACCACATTCGTTTTCTAGTTCACTGCAAGGGTAAGTAACATAATAAGCACAATGTATTCTCCAAATTTAATAATTTAACATGCTTGCTTAGTTAACTTATTATTACCAATGTAACATCTTGGGCTTTGCTTTTTTCTATGTAAAATGCTAAGCACTTGGACGATGATTGCACATTTAGAATTAAATGTTTATCTTCTTCAAACTGAGTTTGTGGAAATAGGGATTTTTTTCATTTTTTGCCATTAAAATAGTTTTTATTTTAAATAGAGTCCCTTATTTGATAGTTAATCATAAACATACAAACTTCTCTGAAAAATCAAAGTGCTCTTCTCCTAAATGGAATAAAATCAAGCTAAACAAAGATCTAAAAATAAGTCTGTTAAGATGTTTATAGATAGAGAAAATCAATTTTAAAAGGAGCATGTGTGTGTTGTAGTTAGAAAGTAGGCTATAGTTGATGGAATGCAGACACTATGGAGTTGCTTTTTTATTGTGTATTTTTTAAATGCAGGAAATATATCCCACAGAGATGTACTATGTCATTTCCAGAAGGACTCTTTTGGGCCACAGCTGAAAAACCAATATTTAAATACATGAAATATGCAATACAACATGAAAAACCAAATTAGTTGAAAGCCGGTGTAATTTTTCCCTCCATATTCTCATTCTCAATTTTTATTATTATATCAGAACTCAATACAAAAGAGAGAAACCCATACATACTGAAATCCATTAATGTGAGTGAGGACAAAAATGGGTATTATTCAGTGTTTTCTCCAAATTTACTGATAGCATTTCATACATTTCCAAACTTGTTCTCTCTGACAAAAAAGTCAGACCCTCATGAGTTCAATTTTCACCACATTCAGGTTTTTGGTCAAATGTCACTTTATCCCTGAAACCGTCCTGGATACTCTAGTTAAAACTGCACCCACAACATCCATGGCATGATTACCCTCTGCCCACATTTCTTTCTCCCTCTTTTCTGAATTATTTTTCTTTGTTTTGAAATAAGTGATGTCCGCAGGTCTTACTCTGGGTCAAAAGGGAGCAGCACCAATTCTTCATCAAATTTGAACCCCTGGCTAGAGTGAAACATTTACGTATTGAACATTCTATAAACTGCTTAGTACCAACCTCACAGTGTTGTGAGGATGAATTGAGTTTCAAACTTCAAAGCTCTTAAAATAGTGCCTGGAAAAGGGAAACTTCTCATTAAATGTTAGCTATTATCATTGTTATTAATATTCATCGTTTCAAAAATTCAAGAGATAATAGGAACTTTCATCCATTTTATCAGGTGAAGATTCTTCTATAGCTTGAGAATACAAAACATTCCTCCTGCTTTAACATTGTAATAGGTGCTGGGGATAAAGGAGTGAATGAAAGAGATATGGTCTTTACTCTCAGAAGATGTTTATGTCTCTGTGGAACATAGTTGCCTAGCAAGTAAACGCACATCGAATTGTGTAATGCAATAATAAATGCTTTGAAGGAGAAGTTTGAGGAGCAACTAAGGTTTATCACAAGGGAACGGACCAAGATTGGAGAATTAAGGGATACTTCTTGGATGAAGTGACATTTGAGATCTAAAGCATGAGTGGGAATTACTAGTTACAGGTGGGTGGGGAGGGGAGGAGCATTCCCAGCAGAGGGAGAGTGCTTACATGGGAAGACTCTGAAGCTGCTGGAGGAACTGAAAGAAGACTCATGTGGCTAAACCATAATCACTTGGAGAAAGTGGTCAAAACCAAGACTGGAGAGGAAGGTTGGGGCTGAACAGGCAAGGCCAAGTTTTGAATTTGGGATTTTGTCTTAGGGACAATGGAAGGTACTAAGTAATTTCCAGAAAGATCTGTAAAGTACTGGCTTAATCACAACATTTTGTTATTTGTGTTGTCAACTAAGAGGAATTAAAAGTAGAAGTACTGTCATTGGCACTGGAAGAGGTGCTCATATTTAAACATTTTGGGTAGATAATCCATGAAGGGCTAAACATGGTAATGCAGGTTTTTTGGAACGCAGTTATTCACAGAGCATTGCCCCATTTTTAGATCTGGCAAACTTAATAAAGCTATTTACATGTAATTGTCTAGACTGACACATGTAAATGGTTAAAGCAGGACCCAGCCTGCTGGGTTTGAAATCCTGTTTCTGCCATTTACTCTTTGGATGAACTTGGGTGAGGTATTGTCTGTTTATCAGTGTCTCATCTGTAAAAGTAGGGTGAAAAGTATTGGTTTAACGATTAAATAAGTTAATATATGCCAAGTAACTTGAAGAATTCCTGGCACATTGTATGCTCTTAAAAATATTATGACAGACAGTCATATTTTATGGAGTATCTAGGGGGTATGCAGAACTCCATTAAGTCTGTCAGAGCATAAATAAAGGTAATTTCTAATTTATAGAAATTTTGTGAGGCTAAAATGAGACAATATATATAAAGTGTCTGGCATGGGCATTAGCTCATAATGAACACTCAGTAAATGTGAGAGCTTCAGTAAATTACAGAGGAGCTGATCTAAGGATGAGTTGGGGTCCTCCGGAGGGTCGAGAAATGAAGGGAGGGGCCGGCCTGGTGGCGCAGTGGTTAAGTGCGCCTGTTCCGCTTCTTGGCGGCCCGGAGTTCACCGGTTCCGATCCCAGGTGCGGACATGGCACCGCTTGGCATGCTATGCTGTGGTAGACGTCCCACATGTAAAGTGGAGGAAGATGGGCATAGACGTTAGCTCAGGGCCAGTCTTCCTCAGCAAAAAGAGGAGGATTGGCAGCAGTTAGCTCAGGGCTAATCTTCCTCAAAAAAAAAAAAAAAAAAAAATGAAGGGAGAGTCCGGTGTTTATCTGAATTATTTCAGAAATTTACACATTTGAACATTTTCTTTATATAGTTATTTTAAGAATGTTAATAAATAAAGTTGTGGATTTTGCAACAAACAGAATACATGATTAGGACATCAGGAAAGTAGGGACACTTAAAAATGAAGGGGGAAGATATTTTTCTGGGAGGAATTGCATATTGAAAGAATTTAAAAAAAGAATTGCGGTAGTCAGTATGAGAAGAATAAGATCATTACTAGTTTTAGATTTATTTTACAAATAGCTATATCTCTACCTAGCTCTCTCTATATATAGATATTTTATTTTGAAATAACCGTTCGAGACACCATAATCTTCTCAGTGTCTAAGGGACTCTAAAGACTGTAATCTGGCTCCAATAGATAGAGCACACAGTATCGGACCAAGATGCTCAAGTGGCTCCAAGGGAACACGTGCCATAGTTGTGTTGTGTAAGGAAGGTTCATTGTCACAGAAAGTTGTGAGTTGGCTCTCTAGGGCACACCTTACAAACTAGATGTCTGCTGGCCACGTTCATTCATTCATAAATATGTTAAATATTGATTAAATGCCTACTGTATCAGCCAGGGCCCAGTAAGGAAAGTAGAAATCACACTAGCAAAGAGAATTTTGTAGGGGGATTTGAGCAGGGAGATCAAAGAGAAGAGGATTGAGTTGTTAGAAACTAGAAGCTCTGAGGGCTGCCGGGTGGATGTGGATGGAGTCCAAGACTTCTAAGGAGAGGGTGTTGCTGGGTGGAGATGCAGCTTCAGCAGCAGAGGCAGGGCTTGCGGAGATGGGACTTCCTTTGTGGAAGGCCTGCTGCTGGGCAGATGTTGGTATCTCTGATGAGGCTCTATGAAGCTGGATGTGGGAATGTGGAAGAAAGCTGGAAACCGGAATGAACTGCTACTGCCAGAACAGCAAGAGAACAGGAAGAAATAAGTCCGGTCTCCATCTTTCTGCCTCCCAGTATCTCTCAAGTGCTCCTGATTAGCAAAACCTAACAGGAATCCAGTTGGCAATGGTGAAATATAGTTTGCCAAGTTCCAGTCTCATGGAACAGAATTTAGAAGGGTGGATTTGGAGCTGAGGAGAAAAAGCTGAGTATCCAGCAGGCCTACTATGTGCCACAAATCATGCTAAAGACACAGCTGTGAGCAGAACAAAGTCTCTACTTTCATACAGCTTATATTCTAGAAACAATAATAAAGTAAAAGAACAAATGAATAATATTATTCTAGTCAGTCATATGTTCTGGAAGAAAATAAAACCAAAAAGGAAATAAGAGAGTGGCTGATGGCACAGGGGAGGAGTGCTATGTTAGAATGGTGGTCTAAGGAAAGAAGAATTGACAGAGTTCACAGAGATGAGAGGAAGCTCTGGGGAGAGCTGATGTAACCATACTCGGCTGAAGGAGTAGCAAATGTTAAGACCCTGAGTCAGAAAGCATCCTGGCACAGAGAAGATGATTTTGGAAATGTAGAAATGAGACATATCATCTATACCGTGAAGTTAGGTTTAATTTTATTCCAGGTAAAATAGGAAGACTGGAGAATTTTACACAATCTGTGTATTAAGAAATTCATTCTGTCTGCTGTGTGGAGAATGGACTGTAGACAGGCAAGACAGACCATAAATGCTCACAGATGTATTTCATTTGGCTTGCACTGAGTTAAAACATGAAGCAACACTTAAATGTTGGTAAATTTCTAATAAAAATCAAATTTCTGGCTTCTGTTGAAATATCTGAAGATTTGACATTCCTGGGCTCACAACATGGCAACCATCTGTTGATGGTAAGTGGCCACTGCCTTTCAGAAGGGGCAGTTCACCACTATCCACTCACCTCTCATTTTATCCATGACAAGCTTATTTCCTTCACTAATATTAATTGCCTGAACCCTACAGGCATTTGTGTTTGCGACTTCTGGTTGTTTTTCTTTCCCTTAAGCAAAAACTCTCTATCCCCCCTCCCCATTTATAGTAATTTATTTTCCTTGGTCCCATCATTGATCCAGGTGTGAGCTACTCTTATCTGGACAATGGAGGGGAGAAGCATGAGCAGGACACCAGTTTCCATTTTTCATCCTTCTGCATCCAGCCTTGTTGCCTCCTGTCTCAGACTGAAGAGTACATCCTCTCCCAGCACCAATTCCAAACAGCTATTAAATCTCATGGTGTTCTCTCAGTCTTCTCAGTTTTTTGGTCCAGGTTAATCTTAGGAGAAAGAGCTAGGTCAGGAACTGGAAACAGAAACTTATAACACATTGTTTTTCCAAACATTGAGTCAGCATCCTACAGAGCTGTTTTAGCACATGAGCAAATGGAATAACTTTTTGTTTTCTTTCATAAAGGATTTTTTAAGAGCTTTTTTTTTTCAAAGGGGGGTTGTCTACTATTAGATATTTTGCAGCACTCATATTTCAATTGACATGAAACTGTATTTTCACTTGTATTGATTTATAGAAGGGTAAACACAATTACGAAAGTTCTGACATTTTAACAGCAATCTTCACGTGTTTGAGATTATCATTTAGTCCATATATTCATGTTTAATCCAAGCATCAAATACTTTTTACTAACTTTATAGTCTTCCATAAATTAATTATTGGTGTGGTATCAAATCCCATCTCAGATTGGAAATACAAAGTACAACATAATTCAATAAGACATTTTTTAACAATATAATTATCCAAATTGTATCTTAGACAAAACTATATGTTAATATTACTATTACACATCCAAAGAAGTCTGTGGAATTTGTCAAGATGATTAATATACATTATGTATAACATAAAATGGTGGTGTATATGAACAAAGAATGCAGCAAGTAAATAAAACACATTAAATTACATCTTGTTAACTTTTGAGTAATCCTTTTTATGTATAACATAAAATGGTGGTGTATATGAACAAAGAATGTGGCAAGTAAATAAAACACATTAAATTACATCTTGTTAACTTTTGAGTAATCCTTTTCATTTATTTTCAGAGTATCTGAGGAAATAGATATTCTCCCTATCCCCAAATACTTTCTCCAAATAACTTATTGAGAGGAATTGAATTTATTTTTAAGTATTTTCTATATAGATTTAATATTTGACCTATTATTCATTTCCATTCCATCATTAAGTAGAATTCCAAAAAGGATAATACATGTGATGGGTTTGTTATGAGCAGTTTGATTATCATTTGGCTGTTTATTTATAAACCAAGGACTATAAGAAAGTCAGAAATCAAACTGTCCTATCCCAAAAATAAAAATCTAAAACTATGGTGAACACTAAATTCAAGTAATATGACATTTTCTAATTATTTTACAGTTTGACATGGAAAATAAAGAAAATGTAAGCATCTTCAGAAAAAGGATTACTTCTTATTCACTGTTGTATCTCCAGAGCCTGATATAATACATGGAAGGTATTCAATAAATGTTAATTGAATGACTATCGAATACAGGTAAGTGCCTCTGAATGTTTTTAGAAGTTATCATATTATGATTATTATAAAATGGAAATGGGTAGATGCTAAAATGTTTGACAAGTACAACATTGGCTTCAGCAAAACTTGGGAATGGTTTATTGACTTGGGTTATTAGATATTTTTTTTTTTCTAAAGATTTTATTCTTTTGCTTTTTCTCCCCAAAGCCCCCCGGTACATAGTTGTGTATTCTTCGTTGTGGGTCCTTCTAGTTGTGGCATGTGGGACACTGCCTCAGCGTGGTTTGATGAGCAGTGCCATGTCCGCGCCCCAGATTCGAACCAACGAAACACTGGGCTGCCTGCAGTGGAGCGCACAAACTTAACCACTCGGCCACGGGGCCAGCCCTGGGTTATTAGGTATTTTTTAAATGATTTGGATTAATAGAAGTTCTTGGAAAAAAATTTAAAAAAGCAAGATCTAGGGGGCTGGCTCCCTGGCCGAGTGGTTAAGTTTGCGCACTCTGCTGCGGCGGCCCGGGGTTCGGATCCTGGGCGCGGACATGGCACCGCTCGTCAGGCCACGTTGAGGTGGCGTCCCACGTCCCACAACTAGAAGGACCTGCAACTAAGATATGCAACTATGTACCAGGGGAGTTTGGGAAATAAAGCAGAAAAAAAAAAAAAAAAAAGATTGGCAACAGTTGTTAGCCCAAGTGCTAATCTTTAAAAAAAAAAAAAACAAGATCTAGGCATTGTTTCTCCAAGTGTTGTCTTCTAGCAGTATCCATGTCAGTTTTATGTTCACTTCTGGCTAATTAAGAGAAGATATTCTAGAAAGAGGGTAAGCAGGAGAATAAAGCGATCATGAGTCCAGCCAGATGTGGAACGGTTGAAGGTAGTAGTTCTCAAAGCGTGACCCTGAAACAGCAGTATCATCAACACCTGGCAACTTGGAAATACAAATTCTCAGGCCCTGCCCCAGATGTGCTGAATCAAAGCCCAGGGGGTTGGACCCACCAATGGGTGGTTCAAAAGATCTTCTGGGTGTTTCTGATGTATACTAAGTTTGAGAACCACTTAAGTAACTGAAGTGGTTATGCCAAGGACAAAAAAAGGGAGGGAAGGGAAGGTGCAACTGAGGAATAGTCCTACTGTAGGGGGATTAGAGGGTCAGACTAATTCTGAGTTACTCCTGAGGGAATTATGAGCCACAGTGATTGGGGGATACAGATGGCAGATTTTGACTCATTAATTTTGGAAATATTTATTGAATCCCATGTATGTAAATGGCCCTCTGCTATATCTTGGGAGGGAAAAAATCAAGGAAGGTATGAATCTGCCCTATGGAGCTCACTGTTTTATGTGAGAGAGACAAGCTTTTGTCCAAGTGTGATGGGAAAACAGGAGAGAGACCTCTCTGTCAGACTAATAGGGCAGGTCAGGCTTCACTAAGGAGCTGCCACTTGAGCTGAGTTCTGAAGGACTGGCAAGTATTAACTAGAGAAAGAATGGGATTCAGTAGAATTAGAGGTGCCCAAAAGTAAAAGGGAATGAGAGAGGAGTCAGAGAGAGGTGGAGACGGAGAGAGAGGGAGAGAACCGTCTCATGTAGGGGCAAGCTGCCTTGTCACATGCGTTATCGGGAAGAGGCTGACCTTCTGCTTGCTCTGTTGAAGAAAGAATACTTGCTGTAGTTGGATAATGTACTCAATGCCAAAAGGTCCCTTTTAAAACTCAAATTCTCTGCTCCTACCAGCCATAAGCAAGAAAATAAAACACACTAACATTTACCTTTGGAACCCCTTCTTTTAAATGTAGTCTTTTTCTAAGTTACTAATATTCCGCCTTGCTCACTTTTGCCTTCCTTCCTGCCCACCTCCCCAACAACCATGTTTCTCATTGACTCAGTCCTCTCCCATCCCATCTCCCACCACTGACAGCCACTTCCAGGTGCTAATGGTTGATGCAAAGGCAGAACATGATGTCTTACTTCATTCTACTCTGGGAGGGGCGTTTAGCAGAGACTCTTCAACAAGGAAAGGCTCTTAATCCAAAAGTCTACTACTTTATTACAAACACCTGAAACAGTGTAGCAAGTGTATGTTAGAGGCATTTAGGCAGCAGTTGTTACTGGAGTGTTCGTCAGTCGACCAGCCCTCCTTCTATCTAGTTCACCATTATTGTAAGAAAAAGTACACTTCAGTAGTCTTAGAAGTTTTTAGAAGTTGAGTATAAAGTGACCAGATCTTTATTCACTCTCCACCCTGTGGTGTGGATACCAAGAGACCCTTCTGTAATCTGATTCTATTTGGACAAGCAGTGGAAGAGACATGCTAAAATTGGAACAAAATGTTTGGTGACTCAGCAACATTGCTTGAATTTGTTTTTCTCTGATCTAATCATAGCAGTCAATTTAAAATTGATTGAAAAGTCCCAGGAAAGTAGCATTTCTAGTACAATAGGGCTATGATAGTGGGATGTGCCAGAAAGACAGAAACAGCTATAACCAGCCTACTTCCTCTTAAATCTTTTCTCAAATGCCAGAATCCAAAGTGTTTTCTTTTTTTTTAAAAAGCTTAAACAGTCCTTGATTTAAACATACATTCATATGCGTGAGCGCGCACACGCACCCACCCACACACACACAGTTTTGAAGTCCTTTCTTTCTGAGAGAAAGAACTCTCATTTTCTCTCCCCTGTTTCACCCACTGGCTGTTGTACTCACCTGCATTTATGAATTGATTACACGAGGTGAATGCTCAGATCTAACTCAGCCTTCACATTATTGTGTCTGTTCTTGTCCCAGTCTGTCCTGGATGCTCAGTTCAATTCTCCAGGGGGAGCATTAAAACTGGGGTAATATTTTGAGTGAGAATAAGTCTAAAAGATTGGAGAAATGTTTACAAAGATAAGTTAGGCTGGACAAGAACTGGACCTTGAGAATGTTCTACTGACTGCAAAGGTGACTACAAAAGGCCCGTGAAGTCCCTGGACTTTTCCAATCCTGGAACGTAGCTAATGCATGGAATCAAAGTAGAAAATTCAAACCCATCTTCAGGAACTTCTTTTGCCACATACTATGTGCCTCTGGGCAAGTTGCCCAATCTTTCTAAGACTAAGTTAGTAATTCGAGTCTCAGCCTTATCACCTATATTTAGAATCCTTAAGAAATCACGCTAGTTTAATCATACCAGGAAAAATAAGGATTAGGTTTAGTCATTTTAGTATTTATAATCCTTTGAGGTATAAGACTATATTAAAAAATCATTAAATTTCTTGAGCAAACATGAAGTAACATGGTTCGTAGTTAACTTGTAAAAATCTTGGGGAAAAATTACTCTTTAGGAAAGCAGTATCCCAAGGGATACATATTAAAGAAATGAGACCAGTATCGTAGATCTCCTCTATATAAACTACAATAATCAGCAAGAAAGAGTTGTATAATTTGATCCGTCCCTAGAACTGTTCTAAGTTATAACTAGCATAGCCATGCAAACTGCTGATGATGAATTTCTTGCTTATTTAATAATATAGAGCAATCCTTCAAGATGTCATTCAATGGTCAGATCAAATCATATGCCCATTCACCCATGTATTCTATCACTTCACTCCATACAAAACCAATTTTAAGAAGTAAGCTTGTTGACAGGCACACACACACATTCATATATATATGAATTTGATTTAAAAGCAAAAAGCAAAGACTAGATCTGGTGCTGTCTAATTTTGGCTGGAAATGAAACATGAAATGACCTTGCCACTATGAAAGCATAAGTGTGTCATATACTATAAATTTAAACTCCTTAGCATTTAATTAAAAATTAAATTCTACATTACTCCTAATTCTTTTTCTAATTCTTCTATAAATATCAGTGGACAGGACATTCAAGAATAGCATATATGTACTTAAACCATTTTCCTGGTATTTTCATTTTATTTACAGATAAATGCTTTAGAATAAGACTCAGCATACATAAAGAGGCTTTTTCTCAGCATTTAAACAACTTGGAGGGGGATGAGAAATCTTGAGACTGCCTCCACAGCAATTTCTGGTCAAACCTTTGAAGACCATAAACATGTATTGGTATTTCCCACATAACCCAAAGGCTAGTATTTACCATCAGTTAACAAGAAAAGACCCTAAACCACATATTATATTTTATAACTTTTCAATGTCCGCTATAAATGAGAAGCAGAGTCCTATTTCATGCAAGATTGGTGTGTGCCCAAGCTCAACCCTTGCCAGAATTTGAAGGCTAGATTGGCTGGTGCACAAATCTGCCTTCTGCTTTCTTTTCTGTTAAATGAAAAATTAAATGAATAGGTGCAATTGTAAATGCTGTCAACAGTATTTGGACTGTATTTTTAAGATACAGTAGCACTGTCGTTTGAGTGATTTATCTTCTAATTATTTGGCAAAATGATATAATTAAATATCATGCTCCATCATGGGTTTCATGTAAATAGCCTAATTAGCCCCATTTTGGCTCCAAAGGGCACCTCCACAGAGCTTCTGGATTTTGAGGAGAGACAGCTCTTTCCTTCTGTCTCTTAAAAAAAGGCTACTACTTTATCTTTCATTCTGCATGAGATTTATGGGCTTTAACTTCCAGCCCATAGGGTAGAAGATCAGGCTACATGCCTTCATTTACTCTTGAAAGTTATTGCACATTCTCTACTCTAACTGCCTTGCCCTTCAGGATACCATAGGTGGAGTCTCATAACTCTAAATTAACATTTGGAAATGACTTTTACATTTTGGGTCATTTTATGGTGTCATTTCAGTGAGTTACACATTTGGAATATTACTTAGCTATATGAATAAAATATTCTTGCTGCACTGTTACAAAATACTTATTTTGCTTTTGATATAATGAATGCATAAAGTTTCTACTCAATTTTTTTTCCCCTGTAGTAGGTGTAGGGACAGGGTAATGATGGTAGATGTGAATTGACTTGGTCAACTTCTATGAAAAAGATCAATATAACCCATGGCCCTGAACATTTCAATGAATTTTGTGGAGAGCAATAGTGTAGATCTATAGAATCAAGCAAAAGGGTTTCATGAAGAATTACTAGTGGGGCTTTATATGCTATATCAGAGTAAATTCTTTAAACCTGTCAAATTCTCCTTTTAGCTTGTGAATTCATTTTAAATGTTTTTTTTTTTTCCTGAGGAAGATTTGCCCTGATCTAACATCTATTGCCAATCTTCTTCTTTTTTCTTGAGGAAGATTTACCCTGAACTAACATCTGTGCCAATCTTCCTCTATTTTGTATGTGGGTTGCCGCCACAGCATGGCCACCAACAAATAGTGTAGGTCCGCTCCTGGGAACTGAACCTGGGCCACCAAAGTGGAGCATGCCAAACTTAACCACTAGGCCATGGGGCTGGCCCCTTAAATCAGTTTTTAATTTGAAACATATTCCTATCATATTGAAGGATTATTATGATGTTTCTCTACCCCTTCACCTACTTAAACTAAACAAATCAAAAAGACCAAAATTTAGCAAGCTGTAAAGGGAAATATAGACATCAGCCCTTCCAGATAGGACTTTTCACCTCTATTCGTGTGTCTTTCAATTCAAAGCAAAGTCAGGCATTCTTTTATGTATTTATTTTTTTTTGTGAGGAGGATTAGCCCTGAGCTAACTGCTGCCAATCCTCCTCTTTTTGCTGAGGAAGGCTGGCCCTGAGCTCACATCCATGCCCATCTTCCTCTACTTTATACGTGGGATGCCTACCACAGCATGGCTTTTGCCAAGCGGTGCAGTGTCTGCACCTGGTGTCTGAACTGGCGAACCCCGGGCCACTGAGAGGCAGAACGTGCGAACTTAACCACTGCGCCACCAGGCCAGCCCCAAGTGAGGCATTCTTATTAAATATCTATTTTAACATTTATTTTAGGGCAATGTCTCAAACATGCTTAAAGCTGTAAAATAGAGATTAACTATTGAAAATTGGAGCTAACTATCCCAATTGTTTGAATAATTTAGGTACTTTTATTGAAAGTTTGTTTTAATCTAAATTGCTTTTAGATAAAATTTGGCTTATCTCTCTGCACAAGGCCAAATTATCACAGACCAAATCCCAGGAATCTATTAAACCTTTTTTTCAAAGTCAACCTAAGTGGGACGGTTTCAGCCAAAAGCTCCCTGAGCAAGGCAAATGTTAAGTTCCTGTGACATGGAAAGAACAGAGTAAGCAAAACAATAAAGAAGGAAAATATCATTGAAATCTTTGGGCTTCATCGTCCTTTGGAGAGCTTTGAAAGGGAGCAGGACAGATTCCACTTCAGCAAGAATTTGTTTATTCTGCTTATCTCTGGTCAGAAATAATAGTCTTAATGGTTTGGAGAGCCTTTGCTGATCCTGGGTTGATGTGGCCATTTGCAGATTAATGTACCTATTTGCAAATGATCATATTTCCACATATCATTTGTAGCATATACACTGTGGGTTGTTACAAGTTATTTTTATTATTGAAATAAATACAATGTGCTTTTAAATCCTCAAAGCATGTTGTCATAGCATCAAGTAAACATATGTGAACGCCTTTTCAAGTTTTGCTGCTCATTGACAAATATCTTTGGGTTCTCATGGGCAGCACAGGCAAAAACCACACACAAATTAAAATAAACAATAATTCCAGATTTGATGGCATTCTCTTCAATTTGAAATTTCACAAAGTTTAAACAAATGGGTATAAAGAAATGGAAAATACAGTGAAATTCAGTACTGAGGAAACAAATTGAATGGGCTGGAACATTTTGTTTATGTATAGTTAAACATACATAATTGGTGACTTGAAGTGAAGAATTCCATAATTATACAATCCTTGTGTCCTACTGCTCTGAAAAAGCTAACAATTCTACCCTCAATGAAGAGATTCAATAAGCAATATTGTAGACAGTGCTTCAAAAATCTTGGCTACTCATTAGATTCACCTGGGAGCTTTTAAAATTCTGCTGGTGCCTAAGGCCTCACAGATACCCATAAAATTGAATATCTGGGCTCCAGAATTTGATTTTAAAAGCGTTGTAGGTGATTCTAATGTTTAGCCAGACTTGAGAACCAAAATTATAGATGAATGGTTCTCATACATTAGCTTTTTGTAGATCACTTGGAAGGCTTGTTAAAATACAGACTGCTGGGCCTCAATCCTAGAGTTTTTATTTCAATAGGTCTTTGATGGGGTCTGAGAATTTATATTTTTAACATCTTCCCAGATGCTGCTAGGTGCTGCTGCTGCTGCTCTTCTAGATACCACGCTTTGAGAACCACTGTTATACATAATTCTGTATTGACTGAGAAAATGCGTAGTACCTAAAGTAACCATGTGTATTTTGGTTGGTTGAGAAAAAATCCAAAATAATAATAAAAAAGTATAACTGGATGTTACAAGGGAAGTTTTTGCTGAAATCTCGGAAGTGATACTTGTCAAAGAGACTATTTTGAACTTGAAAAAGATGATTGTGAAATGGTTATACAACTCTTAAATCCTTCCCCACTTTGAGAGTAAAAAATTGAGAGATTTTTTTCATATTTCTTTGGAGAAAGCTAATGATATAAAACCTAATCCCCACTTCCAAGGAGAGAGTCAGAACTACTTGTTCTACTGGGACCATATCTCCTGGTTTGCCCCAGACTGAAGAGTTTCCCAGGATGAGGGAGCTTTGGTGCTAAAACCTAGACAGTCGTGGGAAAACTGGAATGGTTGGTCACCCTACTTCTGCGCCCTCATATTAAGCCTAATAAAAGCACTTGGAGAGCTTAAGACATATCTGTAGATGAGGCTACAGGGGTCTTATGTAAGTCTCCAGCCTGAGAAAACTAAGGGTCAAGAGGAGGCCTGCATAGCTGCCAATGGACAAGCCAAAGGGAACGTGACAGATTTGAAATCAGCCTATACTCCCAGAGTTAGAGTTAAGTGTGCAGTAGGATTTCTTATGGACAAGATGTAAGCACATGTGAGAGGCCAGTGGGAGTCAGATTAAGTCCTGACCAATAGAACTTCTTGGTAGCAGGGAGAGGTGAAGGCATTGCTGGATCTATTGACAATGGGAGGAGTTGATAATGAGCTCTCAGCAGATCACTAGGGTTAAGACACTGAAGATAAGAGGCCAAATGATGGAACGGAGGAGGAGGCTATGAATCACCCACAAAAATTCCCATAAGAGAAAGAACTTTAAACACCTACCTGCCCAGAGAGTGCAAAGGCCTCTCACTATGGCAAGAAGACCACAGCCCCACTCCCTGCCTTCCAGCCTGCAGAAGGCCCTAGCTGAAGGAGGGCAGAGCATGCAACTTTAAGTCAAGTATGGGTTTTTGATTGTCATATAGAACTGGAATTTTACATTATTGAACAGAGAATGCATTTGTCCACTTAAAAGTGAACTTATTATTTAAGAATGATCAAAAAATCATGAGATAACTTGAATCATCTTCCAGAGACAAAGAAAGAACTTTCTCCATTGACTTAGTTTTAAAGTATAGTGGGAAAAAGCCCCAAAAATTGCTTTACAGTTTCACTGCATGAGTTCTGCTTGTCTTGCTTATTTATTCTGTGTAAATTTGTGAAAAGGAAAGGGAAAAGAATGTATTGGCTCACCAAATGGGAAGTTAGCATTAGATCTCTAACTAGTCAAGTAAAAATGTAGTATCAATGATTACCAAGTCTTGGCTGTTTTTTCTTCTTTGATGGTGGAATTTTCAGGCATACTATCCCCACCTGATATTCAAAATGTTCAGCAGTTCTAGGTTTAAACTACTCTTGCAAATCAATTCTGAATATTCCTCAGGGGTCTCTTATTGGCTCAGCTTGTTCATTGCTGTATCAATTATTATGGTTAAATAAATTCAACACTCTCAATGGCCAGGCCTGAGTCCCCCAAGTTGAGGAAGGGTTTGGACAGTCCTAATTGAATTACAAGAAAGAGGGCATTCTTTTAACAGAGGAAGAGTGGAGAAGCAAAAGGTTGTTGGACAGGCAAAAACATATATACAGTCACTGCAGTCCACACTGTGTTAGTACTTAGAAATTACTCAATAAAAGTTGGATGGGTAAATGAGTGATTTACAAATATCCTTTCTTTCCTTATTTGCAGTGAATTGCCTCTAGATCTCTTATGACAGTCTCATGGTAAGGCTTATAATGTCAAACCTCAGGCTTGTAATTTCTTATATCGTGAAAGCAGTTTAATAATTAACATGTAAGATTAAGCAACAGAAGCTTCCCAAGGGTGCCTTAAGAATCTACCAAAATACTTAATTTGCTTAATCTCTCCAGCACACTTTTACTTGCATTTTTTTCAAATAAATATAACATTAAGTATTTTTAAAAATTGCAGTTAAAGAAGGTAGAAGGTGTTTTCATAGATTATTGTCCTTTGTGTAAAAGTGTGACATTACTGAGCCTCCATTAATAATTGAAATTACTGTTAAGGAGAAACTCGAAGGGGTTTGAGCAAGAAACAGTTGGGGCCATTTGGAATTCTTTCAAAACACATTGATGAACTTCTCTCAGTAGCTAACAAAATCTCCTTTATGAAGTATTTGGTTATTCTCTACTGGATAGATTAGAGCTTGTGGATAGTTTTATACTACTGGTGGAGAATCATGACCATGTTCTTCAACAGCCACTCCTAAAATTGGATTAGTGACGTAACTAAAAATTTGGCTAAAGCTTGGACTCATCTTCTAACTGTGACGTTCAGATGAGAAGAATGATCTTTAGCTGTATGTAAAGTAGAGGGAGTAAACATTTGTTTTGCTTTTAGGAGTTTCTGCATTTGTGTGTTTTTTTCTGAATCCTGGGAGTGGGCTTGGATTTGTGGAGGTGGCTCAGGAATAGAATGATGGCTCACATATGTAGCACCAGTATTGAGAATAATAATTTTACCTTTGTACTTTCAGTATTCGTTTGCTAGGGCTGCTATAACAAAACACCATAAACTGGCCGACTTCAACAACAGAAATGTATATTTTCTCATGATTCTTGAGACTAGAATATCAAGGTATCAGCAGGCCTGGTCTTCTGAGGCCTCTCTCCTTAGCTTGCAGATGGCCGCCTTCTCATGTGTCCTCACATAGTCATTTAATTTCCTCTTATTGTGAGGAGGCCAGTCTTACTGGCTTAGGGCCCACGTATATGACTTCATTTTATTTTAATCACCTCTTTAAAGGCCCTATCTCCAGATAGTCACACCTGAGGTACTTGGGGTTAGGACTTTAACATTTGAATTTTGGGGGGGACACAATTCAGCCCCTAACACTTTCTAATTTACCATGAAAATAGCTCTGATAAACTACAGAAAATCTATTTGTTATTGCTTCAGAAATGCTATTTGGCAAGTTAGTTTCCTCTTTTTACTTATAAAAAAACTTGGACTTTAGAAGTTAAAAGTCTTATCCAAAGTCACCAGATGAGCAAGGAACTGCACTTGGATTAAAATTCAGGGTTTTCTGTAACTGTTCTTTCTACTCTATCACCATACTGCTTTTTAATTCTTTATGCCAACTGAAAGAATGATAATACGACATTAAAATGGAAAATAAAAAAGGAAGGATTTGGGTAAGACCAGATAAATGGTAGGTTATGGAAGGCCACTCCAGATAAGAATGGCATAGAGCGTATGTGGGTATGGGCACAGAAAACTGAGTACTGACAAAGGAGAGAGCTGCCTTTTTACATGACTGAGTGCACTGGGTCCTATTTGACCAAGCTAACAGTTGACTTAATTGATTTTATAAGACTTCAACAATTACTCAATAGTTCCAATTTAGTTAATTTACTACAACTCCTCTGGCCAAAAAAGAAAAAAACAAAACACCCAAATGCTCAATTCAAAAGCTTGGTCAACATCCCAATGTTATATTGATTATAATTATATTGCTTATAAATTAACCAATATTCAGTTTCACCTTTATGATTAGCACCATCTTATTGGTCTAGTACATGTAACAATAACAACAGCAAAATTAAATATGGAAAGAAGAGCGGTCCTCATTTCCACACAGTTCACACATGTGCTGCTATGTTATTCATAACACATTTTAGGGCCCTGCTTAATTTCATACATTCTCTACATACACTTGCTAAATAAAAAGTGATATCTTGAAAAAGCAGAAATTCAGATTTACTAGGTAGTGTAGAGGACAGGAAACAAACTCCATTTCATCTTGGGGCTGTGATGAAGAACATGCTCCTGTGTTTTTCATATTAAATTTTCACTAAAATTCGAGAAACTTGGACTAATCAAATACGAAAGAAGATGAATCTGATTAGATCAGATTGCTTTTCAGCTGATTTCTTTTTCGCTATTGTTGACTTAGGAGGGGATCAACTAACCACAGAAATGGGGAAGATTTTTAGTATCCTTTCTTTAACTCATCTTTAGCTTTTAGAAATATAACACATTTGTATGGCATGTTGAATTCTGGCTTTAATGAAATAAAGAATAGTAGCATAAAGCAGGAAGATCATGAGAAACTGAGATATAAATTCTGAAGTAGGTCAAGGGATAGATAATAGATTCCAAGGTTAAACACTAAATCTTACAGCTTCCAAGCTGGCCGCCAGAAAGAACATAACAGGTTAAGAAGCAGAGGCCTAAAAGGAACAATATTCTTTGCTGTAATCAGAGAAAGAGAGTATAGTAATTATGTGCATATGTTTGTGCTTTACAGCATTCTGATACTAATCAGTATGTATTTCTATATATGTAAATACCAGATCAATGAAAAACACTCCATGTGTGTATATTTAGCTTCATGCACCTCCTTAGTTAGATACATGGATAAATATACACAGAGAAGCTAATTGAATATGAATGAGAATCTCGGTTAAAGTAATATGGATCAAAAACTGGCCACCACAGGTTTGGAACTCAGGCACTCATGCCTACAAGTTGTAGCATTTTTCTCACTATATTATTGAAATTGGGAGTTGGTCCAAAGCATAAACAGTAAAGGACTGATTACTGCAACGTGATCTACTCAGAGATACTCACAAGGCCACCCAGAAGCTCCTGTTGATGTAGGAATGAGCCCCCTTAGGAGCCCGACCCTGCCCAAATGGGTCACATGGGCAGGGTGGCCTGCCCTGGCTACCTGTTTATTTCTCAGGACAATTTGATCCTTGGAATCTAGCACCAGAGAACCCACGTTAGGTTAATGCCCTGAAACAGAGCTCTGGGAGCATGAAGAGAAAAGAGTAAATGAACTCATATGTCTTATTTTCACAAATTCTGTGTTATATCCTCCTTCCTTGAGAAAACAGTTTGGTGATCTAATGTCTAATTTTCTTTCTTTCACACATGGTATTCTCTCCGTTTTTTCCTCTCTCTCTCTCATACACGTTTTTGCAATGATCAAGTTCATAAATGAGAATATAAGACAGAACACTCTCAGAAAGAGAGCTTTCTCACCAACTCTTACTACATTAGAACCACATGAAATAACACTTGTTCACAGAAGATGGAGAGCATTTAGTAGACGTGCAGGATTTCAGATGGCTGAGCTCATTTACTGACTGGCTGAGATGATTTTGCGATACGCCTGCATCTTGAATGCAGCTTCTTTGGGCTTATTTCATATAGCTGGGCTCATTAGTTTTGTCAGTTATTTTGGAAGTATGTGTACAAAACCTGTTTTATATTGTGGATAGGCCTCAGGAAATCATCCTTCATGACTCTTATTTGAAACACAGTTTTGAAAATTTAACTCAAAAGGCATGCCATATTTATTTAACATGATTGTGCTTGGTCTGAAAATATACACGGATTTTTATTAGTGTGTTCTTTTCTATAGTTTAATGTAACTGACATAGGGAAGAGGATTTCTTTACCTCCTTCTCTACCCTCTCTCACCCTCAAATATCATGAGGCATTTATTCAACGATTTGGAGGAAATGTGAACTTTGTTGGTTTATAAAATAGCTTTTCATTTTGAAAAAAAGTTAACCAACAGAATTTTTAAAAATACAACGATTAAAAATTTTTTTTACATAATCAGCAACACGATATTTTAGTCATTTAAAAAGTTTACTTGATACAAGCTAACTAAAAATTCCTTGCTTATGTAGTTCTTACTGTTTATGACTATGACCTAGCTTACAGTATATCTTTACCTTTTCAAGTATTTTGCTCTCTCTTAACTTGGACTCTTGCTATAAAAGAAGCAGCAGGTTATTATGGAAAGAACCAGGGCTTTGGAATTCCATGGAATAGCAGTACTGAGAATACTTATTAAGCTTACTTAGATGTAATTTCCTAATTGGGGAAAATGGAGATAACTTGATTTATTTTTAAAGATTAGAAATGACATGAAAAATGTCTAGCATAACTCCTGGCTCATAGTATTTGAACTTGTAGGTTCTCAGTAAATGGTAGTATTTCTACCAAGTTTTTCAAATACTTCCTAGATGTGTGTTTACAAAATATTTGTGTTTGCTGCTTCACATGGGAATACTTACCAAAAGTGCTCATTATCTGTTCTTTTTTTGGACAACTTTATTGAGATATCTTTGACATATAAAAATTGTGTATATTTAAGGTAAACAACTTGATGTTTTGAGATATGTATACATTGTGAAAAGATCACCACAATGAAGCTAAACAACTTATCCATCACCTCTCCATAGTTAGCACCGTGTGTGTGTGTGTGTGTGTGGTAGAAGATTTAATTTAAGATCTATCCTCTTAGCAAATTTCAAGTTACAATACAGTAGTAATTATTAATGGTTAACTGTCGTCACCATGCTGTACATTATATCCCCAAAACTTATTCATCTTATAACTGAAAGTTTGTAACCTTTGACCTACATCTCTCCAATTCCCCATCCCCCTATTCCTGCCAACTGCCATTCTGCTCTTTGTTTCTATGAGTTCTAAGCTTTTAGATTCCACGTATAAGTGGGATGATGCAGTATTTGTCTTTTTGTGTCTGGTTTATTTCATTTAGTGTAACGCCCTCCAAATTCATTCATGGTGTTGCAAATGGCAGGCTTTCATTCTTTTTTAAGGCTGAATAATATTCCATTGTGTGTATATACCACATTTTCTTTATCCATTCATCTGTTGGAGGACACTTAGGTTGTTTCCGTATCTTGGCTACTGTAAATAATGTTGCAATGAACATGGA